GGTCTGAGGTGCAGCAGGCCGTCGATCAGCAGTCTCCTTTGGGATTGGATTGTGACAGTGGGTTTGCGTTAGCTGGGCCAGTCTCAGATAAAGGGGCTTCTCGAGGTTATTTACAGTCCAGAATATCTTATTTGTCCGAAACGAATAATGAAGTCATTGAAAATGCTTAACTGTTTCAAGTTCCCGGTGGGAGTAAATGACCGACAGCAGCATCTCCCAGGAGATGGCTACGCTGTAGCCCCTTCTCCTCTGTTTTCTTCTTGGGGTTTTGGGCACACACATACATGTACCCACCCATTATTCAAGCTGCTGGGTCTGGAACTTGAACCGTGCGTCTTGGCGCCTCCTGTCTTGCCTCTGGTTTGCTGATGTCGGGTCCACTCTCTCCAGCTTTCCTGTGTGTGCCTTTGTCCGGAGGCTCCTTTTGGCAGCTTCCTGTTCCTTCCTTGGGCTCTTTGCTAATTTGGAGGTAGAACGAGGCCAGGTATCTTTGGTTTGCTTGTTACTTCTATGGTGAGACAGAGACAAAGACAGCATCCCTAAAAGGGTCTTGATGCCACGACACCACCCCCCGCCCCCAGCTTCAGGTGGCCCAGATCACCGGCACGCGGGTGCCAGCATACTGCGGGAGGTCTCCAGGTGGGGCATCGAAGCCATTTGGGGCAGGCTGGCCTGGCAGAGTGCTGTGCTTTACTGATGCAGGCAGAGTATCTCGGGTGCTTTTCAGGAGTCCCGGAGCCCTGTGCCTTGGAGGGCATGGTGGCATGGTGGAATTGGAATATTCAGTGAGAGCGAGAGGACAAGGCTTTTGCAGGAAAACGGTGATTTATTAGTGCTAGTATCTGCTCAGTGGATTTGCATTCAAATGTTGAGCCCTGAGTTTTCCTCTTTCTTTTCTTGTCTTTTCTTTTCTTTTTTCTTTTTTTCTTTCTTTTTTTTTTTTTTTTTAGAGATTTTTGCTATAGGGCACAAAGATGCACTCACCGGAGAGAGAGAAAGCAAGAAATCACCCCCCCAGGGGAATGGCCATGCTGCAATCCCTTCTCCTCTCTTCTCTTGGCATTTTGGGGATATATGCACACATGTACAGCATGAATTTTAAGCCACTGGATCTGGGACTCGTACTACATTGGACTACATGGGAGTCCGGTGACGAACCATTACACCACCTGCTGGTCCTAAGCCCCAAATTTTTGGGTGCCCTTTCTTTTTTTTTCATGTTAGTCTTTTTGTTCCCCTTATATGGTTATACACACTTTACGTACTTTCGATTGGGTAACTCATGTGAGGTAATTTATGTGATAAGATTCATACAGAATTATGAAGGTTTGTACTAGGCTAGATACACAGGGGTACATAAAGTTACAAAGTTGCTAAGTTGCCATGGGGACAGGGCTATAAGGCCACTACAGGTTGTACATGCGTATTTAAATTTTAAGTATTCCCCGTTATTTTTCTGTTATTTTTCTTTGTTTTGGAAGGCCCCCCACCACAGTGGAAGCTGCTGCGTCTTGGGGCTCCCATTTGTGCTGCCTCTGGGGCCCCACCAGAGGCATTCCCCAGGAGGTGATTCTCTGTTTCCCTGTCTCCTTTCCCCAGAGCCCTTGTCCTTCCTGACTCAATTTCTGCCTCCCTTCCACCTCCTTTTCTGGATCTGTAACTGAGGCTGGTGCCGGTCTGGCTTGGGCTGACCATGCTGGTCAGCCTCTTGGGGGCTTACTGCTGTTTTGAACCTGGCACGTGTTTTTCCACAGAAGCCAGAGTCTGAACCAACAGCGTTGGCGTGTGCCAGTACAGCCATGAACTGGCCGTGATCCTGCTTCCGAGGGGCAGAGAAGGCTGTAACCCAGGCAGCATCTGGTGTCTGAGGGTTGCAGTGACCTCGCTTAGCTTTCTGGGGACACATTCTCAGTAGCTTGTTGCAGTGGCAGTGACAGCATCACTCCCTCCCTCTCCTGGAGGAAGAACCTACCTACCTCCACACCTGTGTGCGTACTGCGTGTGTGACACTAGAATTGCCGTGCTCTTCCCCTGGCCTACAAGGTGAAGCAACATGGACAGCACAGCTCCTGAGAGCTCGTGTTTCTTAGGTGGCTGTGGGGTTTTCTCAGACGTGGGTGGGATGTTTCCTGTACGCAGCCGAAGGCGGTTCAGTCCCCCGTGCCATCTGCTGGAGTTGGCCCCTGTACAACGTCCCCACTGTGTAGCGTGACGAAACCTGTTGTTGCCTACCTGGATACGTGGGTTAGAGAGGGAATGTGAACCTGAGGGTCCCCCCTTTTTATTGGTTTTAAAGTTAAGTATACTGGTGGTGTGGTGATTAAGTTGCTGGACTTCCACTCGCAACCCAGTGGTTTGAAACTCATGCCGAGTGCATGTGCAGGCATGCCTAAGATCCGAGGAGGAGAAGGGATTGTGGTGTGGCCATCCCCCTGGGGCAGGGGACGGGGGAGATTTCTCACTCTTCTTCAGTCTGCCTCCTTCTGTCTGTCTCTTGTGAGCACACATACCCTATGGCAAAAACCTTTAAAAAAATAAATTAAGTATACTATAGACCTGTTTTAAAAAACAAGCCTGGTGGTTAAGGCAGCTTGATCTCTCATAGCTGACTGTTTGGTTGTAGTCCAGGAGCTGGCACCTTGAAAGACACATTGGGCCTGTGCCCAAAAGGAGGGAGAGGTTTGGAAAGGAAATTGCCATATGACCATTCCCTAGGGGGAGTGTTTTCTCTTCCTGTCTCTATTTGGCAAGCACACATGCCCTCTGGTCAAAAGAGAGAAAGAAAGAAAAGAAATAGGCATTTTCAAGGCAGTTTTTAAAAAGAAAAAAAATTATTTATTTGATTTTTATTTATTGTTTTTAAAATTTGTTATAGAGCACGTGAGCTCACCAGAGAGAAAGAGAGAGAAGAAAGCAAGTCACCAGATTTGGGATTTGAACCAATGTTGGCTATGTGGGAGTCAAGCACCTTAACAACCATGCCACCTGCTGGACCATATAAAATATTTTAAAAAATAAATCTTACATACACAGTAGCACTGGGAGTTAAAACTTAGGTAATAACTCACAGCCATCTGCTTTGGTGTCATCCTTTTTTCTTTAAGTGTGCTAGCAAGTGCCTGTGCTTGCTGGAGACAGGAGCATAAGAAGGACCCTTCATGGGGACATTCATGCCACAGTCCCGCCCCATTTCTCCTCTTGGATTTTGGGCACACATGTGCATGTGCCCGGCTTGTTTTTCAAGCTGCTAAGTCCAGCACTGGAACTGTGCAGTTGGCCATGTGGGATCCAGCCGCCTTTAGCACCACAACACTGACTGGCCCTTTTTATTCTTTTCTGATCTTTATAAATAACTTCTGTATAATTACATATTCTTCTTGATTTTTCTACTTGATATACATCTTTTTAAATATACATAACAGCTTTCTAACATACATAATATTTTGACAAAATACCATTTCCCCCCTCTATTTTTGGCCATTCAGGTTACATCTATTTTTTTTTTTTCTTTAATTGCCAGAGGGTGTGTACATTCCAGGACAAACAGAGAAAGCACCCTCCTGTGGGGTGGCCATACCAAAGTGCCTCCATTTTGGCACCCTGTTGGGATGTTCAGTGCTCAAGTATACGTGCCTGGTGTGTTCGTCAAGTTGATGGGGCTGGGATTTATGTTGTGGTTAGCCATGTGGGATCCAGCTCCCTTAACCACAAGGCTGTGCGAGTGGCCCCTTAGTATTATACATTAAATTGTTGCGTCTCTTTAATGTTTTTCTAGAAGGAGATTATCTTTTCGAGAGGGTCTTCCATTTGTTTTAGTTCTTCAAATATATTGATTTATTTTGAGAAGTACTTACTAGTTTAGTTGCACTAGTATTAACCCAGATGAATAAACCTTTCCCTATAAACTCCTCACTGTTCTGTGACAGGTTTCTTTTTTCCCTTGGCTAATTTCACTTTCAGAATATGGCGGCTTGTATCAACCTGCTTGGCTTTGGTCCCAGGCGATGCTGACCCTTCATCTTTTCTCCCTATCCCACCTGTGCGTCTCTGCCCAAATCCTTTCCCACTGCCACAGTAGGTGAAACACCCTGCGCTTGGTTTCGAGTACACACCTGTTTGCAGAAGTTCACGTACCATTTGCTACAGGTTTTAAGAAGACTTTTGAGTTTGTAGCTGTTACTCATTCTCCAGAAGTTAAAATCTTCTCTGCGAGTCTTTACTGCTTCTGTGATAGCTCCCATTAGTTATGGAAACTTCTAAGGTTGCTGAGATTTAAGGTCTGGTGCTCCCTGATACTGTGTACACCTGGTCAGAGAGGAGGAAAGTGGAGCAGGTAAGTCAGTCTGCTCCAGCCCGTAACGTAGGACAGACCAGCTTCTTGGCAAGGGCAGCTGCACTGCCGCGTGACCCATTTCCTGTGACTGGGTGAGGGGTCAGCGAGTGTCCAGAATGTTCACCTAACAGGCCAGGGCTAGCCGTTAGCCTTGGCCAAGTACGTGAAGCGGCCCTGATGTGACAGAGTGGACCACCTTCTCACGTGTTGGTTTCCCTTTTAGCCATTGGCGGCCCTGTCCTAGGCCTGAAAGAATGCACCCGAGGCTCGGCGGTGTGGTGCCAGAATGTGAAGACGGCGGCTGACTGTGGGGCCGTGAAGCACTGTCTGCAGACCGTCTGGAGCAAGCCCACAGTGGTGAGCTGCTGGCTGCCCTCAGTGCCCAGCACTGTTTGTGGGCACATGTACATGTCATATATTACATATTATGATACATTATTCTTGCCTCACCCTTCTTAAACAAGCGAGCCCCACTGATCAGGACCCTAGGGCTTAGTAGCTATTAAAATTTTATTTCTAGTTATAATCATGCCAGGAAAGATAACCACTGACTTTTCATCTAGACAGTGTTAAATGTAGCATGTTAACACGGGACTGTGGGAGCTAGTCTCAGACCACAGATCGTGTGCGTTCTGCACATCTTGGAACACTCTCTGGAGACTGAGCTTTGCCCACTGCGTGGGCAGAACACAGCAGGCCTTGCCCTTGGTTTATGTAGGGTATGCCAGCTGTCACGTGGCCCCTGGCTTGTGTGGGATGCCCCAGCCTTCATGTAGCCCCTGGCTTGTGTGGGATGTCCCGGCCTTCACATAGCCCCTGGCTTGTGTGGGATGCCCCAGCCTTCACATAGCCCCTGGCTTGTGTGGGATGCCCTGGCCTTCGTGTGGCCCTTGGCTTGTGTGGGATGTCCCGACCTTCATGTGGTGCAGCTGTACTTGGCTGATGGCATCCAAAACTTGGACTTGCCCGTGGCCACTGGTGCTCCCTCAGTGGGAGAGAGCTCAGGAAAATAACACCATTCTTTGAGGAGTAGTTTCTGAGTTATTCACTGGAAAATTGCCTCTGTGGCCAAAATTACTTTCAGATTCGGTTCCTTGTTTGCTTTCAATCTTGTTTTTAATACTAATTCCTCATTTCTAAATTCAATGTGTCCCAAGTGAGGATTTCTTGATTGAATGGTCGTGGATACCTGACCTTTTCTTGGGATGGCCCCACGTGCCGCCTTAGCCAAGGTCCAAAGGTTCGCATTGGTTTCTCTAAACACACCTAAACTCATAGTCGTCCCTCAATCTCACATCAGCCTGTTAGCTCGTGCTCTATGGGCCAAGAGTCAGTTGACATCAAGAAGGGGGGACCTTGATTCTTACAGTCTTTCCCAAGAGCTGCGAACACTACCCAGCATTTCCACGGCTCCTGGGCGGAGTGGGCTGTTGATGCCCAGGCTTGTCAGAAGACCTGTGTGGCCACTCAGGTCCTTATCATGCACATGCACTGCCTGGGAGGCAGAAGGTCGATCAAGTGCAGATAACAGGCCTGTGGGAATGTGGGAAACAACAGTGGCAGTGGCAATTGTTTCTCCGCACCCTCCTGCCCCCTGTAATTGCTAACTCTGATTCCACCTCTTGGAGCCTCACCTTCTTCACAGAGTGGGTGTGAGCCGTGAGCATTAACATGAAGTTGACCTGTACCACATGCACCATGCAGGGTGCTGAGGGCTAGAGGGCACAGAGAAGGGTTGTATTCTAGTACCACCCCTCATCCCTGCTCCTTGTGTCTCTGAACTACTCCTCTAGGCCAGGGAACCAGACGTGGCCTTGATCCTATCCCTGGTGGATATGGATTGTTTTTTACTGTCTTGCTTTTTGTGTTGCTAAAGAAATACCAGAGACTAGATGACTTTGTAGACTGACTAATAGAGGTTTTGGTGACTCACAGTTCTGGTGTTGGAAAGTCCAGCATCAGGAAATGCTCGAAGGCAGAACTTGGAGCAGAGGAGGGCGTGGCCTGTATCCATGCGTCTCTCTGTCTTCTGTCTCATTCCCTCTGCTTATAAACCCTCCACAGTCAGTCATGGAGGCCCCACCCTAACTCCCATGACCCCATACCATAATCAGATTGTTCTTACTCTCTCTTTTTTTTTTTTTGAGAGGTTTTCGCTATAGGGCGTGTGCGCTTGCCAGCCAGACAGAGAGAGACAGAGATAGAAAGCGAGAAATCACCCCCAGGAGGGATGGCCACGCCGCAATCCCTTCTCCTCCATTCTCCTCTTGGGATCTTGGGCACGCACGCACACGTGCCCAGCGTGAGTTTTAAGCCACCGGGTCCGGGATGCGAACCACGGTTGACTACGTGGGAGTCCAGCGACATAGCCATTACGCTAACTGCTGGTCCCTGTTTTTACTCTCTTAATCCTGTCACAGTAACTGAGCACACGGATGGGGGGAGGTGGTGTTCATGCTGTAGCACCTACAAAAACATCTTCCTCATGTTCCTCTTAGAAATCCCTTCCCTGTGACATATGCAAAGACGTCATCACCGCAGCTGGCGACATGCTGAAAGACAATGCCACTGAGGTAAGCTGCTGTGAGTGGGGCTGGCGTGTTGAGTGGTGGCCACGTGCATTGGTTCTGCTGTGAGTGGGGCTGGCGTGTGAGTGGTGGCCACGTGCATTGGTTCTGCTGGGAGTGGGGCTGGCGGGGGGGGGGGGGGCCCCGGCATTGGTTCTGAACGGTTGACTACGTGGGAGTCCAGCGACATAGCCATTACGCTAACTGCTGGTCCCTGTTTTTACTCTCTTAATCCTGTCACAGTAACTGAGCACACGGATGGGGGGAGGTGGTGTTCATGCTGTAGCACCTACAAAAACATCTTCCTCATGTTCCTCTTAGAAATCCCTTCCCTGTGACATATGCAAAGACGTCATCACCGCAGCTGGCGACATGCTGAAAGACAATGCCACTGAGGTAAGCTGCTGTGAGTGGGGCTGGCGTGTTGAGTGGTGGCCACGTGCATTGGTTCTGCTGTGAGTGGGGCTGGCGTGTGAGTGGTGGCCACGTGCATTGGTTCTATGAGAGCTTGGGGATCTGACGAGGAAGGCCTAGGCCCAGGGGGTGGCAAACACCTGCAGAAGGCCAGCTAGGAAATACATTAGTCCTGTGTACCATGTATGGTTTCTGTCACCAGGACTCTTGTTAAACACACTTTTGAAATATAAAAGTCATTCTTAGCTTAGGGCTAAGAATACCAAAATAGGCTGAAAGCCTAGTTTTTGACCCCTAGACTAGGTGTCAAATGCCCAAGGTTGACGCTGGCAACATCTAGGTCCAGTTGCGAGACCGCAGAGGTTCTCGCAGAGAGACACCCATCCCAAGTCCGATCTTTGCCTTGTGTCCTTCTTTAGGAAGAGATCCTCGTAAACCTAGAAAAGACCTGCGACTGGCTCCCCAAGCCGAACTTGTCCGCCTCGTGCAAAGAGATGATCGACTCCTATTTTCCCGTTATCATGGACATGATTAAAGGAGAGATGGTAAGTGACGGGGAAGAGGCTCTTCCTTTAAGTCACGTGTAGGGGCCAGAGGAGCTTCAGCAGCTCTCCGCAGCAGTTCTAATGGGCACAGCAGCATTGGCACAAGGAGGTACCGGTAGGCCTGCTGAAGGAATGTCAGCTGGATCAACATTTGCAGGTGCCACTCAAGTAACTCATGTCTTTAATCTTTAACTGACCCTTAGAGCAAGCAGATAGTTACTTTTCATTTGCTGGAGAATATGTGCACTTGCCAGAGACAGATAGTAAGGGGAGAAAGCACCCCTATGGGGTATGGTCACGTGCAATCAATTCTCCTCAATTTCTCCATCCTGCTAGGATTTGAGGCACGCATGCACACGTCCCCAATGTTTTTGAAGTTGCTGGGACTGGAATTTGAACCTTATAGATGGCCATGTGGGATCTGGCTCCCTTCCCCACCAGGCCATGAGGATGGCCTGCAGGTAACATTTTTTTTTTTCAGTTATTTATTTTTTTTCCATGAGAGAGAGACAGTTACCCCCTGCAGAGTCTTCATGCTGTGATCCACTCCCAGTCTCAGCCAGCTCGGATCATAGACATGCATGTCCGCTTGGTATGCCCTAGACATGAACCCGTGACCTTTCCCACGTGGGTCCAGTTGCATTCTCATTGCACCACTGCCTGGTCCCAAGCAGATGATTTCAGTTCTGTGAATTAATTTCTGTGCATTTGTAATTAGGGAATAATTCAGGGAAAGCACTTACTGTGGGTTCAACCACACGGACGCTCATCTTTTCTTTAAAGCATGTGTTGTGCACAGTCCACGTGCTAGAGGCTGGGTTTTCAGCAGCGCTCAGGTAGCTAGCTTTGAGGAGTGTGGAAAGGCCCTGAGAAAGAAGAGGTGTCTAGGACCAGAGGTGTTGAGGGCCAGGAGTGGTGTGGAGGTGAAGTTGGCAGGATTCCACATGACTGACCCTGCAGTTCAAGTTCTGGACCGGGGAGCTTGAAATTCTTACTGGGTACACATGCTTGTGTGCCCCAAATCCTGAGAGGTGAATGGAGCAGAAGGGATTTCAACATCGCCACCCCCCTTGGGGGATGATTTCTCTTTCCAAAAAAATGATTTCTCTTGCCCTCTCTCTATGTCTCTGTCTCTCTGGTGAGCACATGTTCCCTATAGCAAAACAAAACAAAACAAAAACAAAAACAAAAAAACAGGTGTTTAATGTTTAAGAAGTGAAGAGGGGCTGGCCCCATAGCCCAGTAGTTAAGTTCTGTTCACAGGGAACTGGATTCTGCATGGACAACCAAGGTTTGCACATTGGGCCCAGTAACTTGAAAACCACACCAGGCAAGTGTGCCTGTGTGAGCAAAATCCTGGCGGAATGGAGGAGAAGGGATTGCAGTGTAAGCACGCCCCTTTGGGAGGTGGATTGTCACTCTCTCTCATCTGACAAACGTATGTACCTTCCGACAATAATAATTTTAAAGAAGAACTTAGGTGGGGAAGGTGTGTCTTGAGATAGGTTTGGGCAAGGAAGGCTTTGTAGACTGTATTCCAGGATTGCAAGTGTAGTGGGAAGCCCTTGGAGCATTTCATGGAGAAGAGTGACCTCACTGGTACTTTTTCAGAGGGGTTAGTCTCAGTCCTGTTGATGGGGAGTGCAGGAAGGAAGCTGGCAGGACACTCATTAGAGTATCATGTTATGAGTGAGATGTGATCGGGACAGTGCAGAGGGCTGATGCAAAGTCTGGAGGATAAGTGGACTGCACTTGTTCATTGTGGGGATGTACAGGAGAGGACAGGATCAGGAACATCTTCCAGGTTTCCAGGAAGGTGGTGGTGGGATCATGGGTGGCTACAGGCTGGGTGGGGTAGAATCAGAGATAAGTTGGAGTTGTCTGAGGTGGGCAGATAAGAAAGCAGTTCGGCGAACCAGCAGATGGTGTAATGGCTATGTTGCTCAACTCCCACGTAACCGACGATGGTTTGAGTCCAGGTCCTGGTGGCTTAAACTTCATGCTGGGTATGTGTGCGTGCGTGCCCAAAATCCCGGGAGAAGAATGGATGAGAAAGGATTGTGGCGTGGCTATCCCCCAAGGGGATTCTTTCTCACTTTCTGTCTCTCTGTCTCTCTCTGTCCCTCTGGTGAGCACATGTGTCCTATAGCAAAAATCTCACTCTTAAAAAAACAAGAAAGCAAGCAGGCAGCTGGGGAGCCATCAGAATATAGAAGATACACACAAACATAAACACATATTTATCTATAAGATATTCTTTTTTTTAAGAGAGATTTTTGCTATAGGGTGTGTGCTTTTTCTGGAGAGACAGAAAGACAGCGAGAAATCACCTTCCAAGGGTGGATGGCCACATCACAATCCCTTCTCCTCCATTTTCCTCTTGGGGTTTTGGGCACACACACACACACACACACACACGTGCCCAGTGTGAGTTTAAGGTGCTGGATCCAGGACTCAAATGGCAGTTGACTACATGGGTGTCCAGCGATGTAATCATTACACCATCTGCTGGTCCTTCTAGAAGGTATTCTTTTTTTTTGTTTTTAAATAGAATCTCGAAATGGATACATTTTTTTAAAAAATATTTATTTATTTTTAATTTTACGAGGGGTGGGGGAGAGAAAGAGAAAGAGAAAGCAAGCTGCCAAGTTTGGGACTAGAACTGTGGTCGGCCATGTGGGAGTCCAGCACCCTTAACCACCATGCCACCTGCTGGCCCCATTTTAAAAAATAATTTTTTTAAAGAGATTTTTGTCTTAAGGTGTGAGGAGAAAGAAAGATTGAGGAGGGAGAGAGAGTGAGGAAGAGGAGAGAGAGGAAGTGAGAACCTCCCCCCAGGGAGGATGACCATGACAATCCCTTTTCCTCCATTTTCTTCCTGGGATCTTGGGCATGCACACACCTGTGCCCAGTGTGAGTTTCGCGTCACCAGATCCAGGTCTCGAGCTGTGGTGAGTCACGTGGGAGTCCAGTGACATAGCCATTATGCCATCTGCTGGCCCCATAGGAAGTATTTATATAGAGGTTTGTGTGTATGTGTTTATATAGATGAGCTTGCATTAGCTCACCTGGGGGAAGTGACTGAGAATTGCTGACTGTCTCCTCCAGTCAGAAGCTTGTATTCCTTTAAAAAAGAGCTCATGGGTTCTGGCCTACTGGTGAATGGAGCCAGGTTCCACATGGCCAACCATGCACACAGTTCAAGTCCCAGCCCCAGTGGCTTGAAAGAGACAGTGGGTGTGTGCACGTGTGCCTAAAATCCCAACAGGATAGCGAAATGGAGGAGAAGAGATTGTGGCCTGACCATGCCAACTGAGGAGTGCTTTCTCCCTCTCCCTGTCTAGCTGTTTATCTCCGGCGAGTCTGTGTCTTTTGACAGTTTCGAAGGGAAATAAAGAGAGAGTGAGCAATGAGAACATTTAGGAAGCTGAGAGCTGCTGTGTAGGTAGGCATGTGGATTGTAGCTGATGATGATCTCATGTAGACTGAGCAGTTTGAACCTGGGCCTTTGTTTCCAAGGCATCTCAGGAGAGGGACTAGTACAGAGGCACCAGGTGGCCTGTTGTGTTTTCCTCGGGGGAAGGGCTTCCAGCCGGGTTTCTCTCCCCACAGAGCAGTCCAGGGGAGGTGTGCTCTGCTCTCAACCTCTGCAAGTCGCTACAGAAGCACCTGGCAGAACTGAACCACCAGAAGCAGCTTGAGTCCAATAAGATCCCGGAGCTGGACATGACCGAGGTCGTGGCTCCTTTCATGGCCAACATCCCCCTTCTCCTCTACCCTCAGGATGGCCCCCGCAGTAAGCCCCAGCCCAAGGTAAGGCCACGGCCCGGTTGCTGAGGGCCCTAGTTTTGTTTGCAGTGGAGACGAAATAGGCAAGAGGCATTGGAGTGTGCTGTTCTTGCGCTGGGGCTGAGGGGCCTGTGGTCAGCTCTGCAGTTACACACGAGCCAGCCTTCTCTTGGTTGTGCCACAGAGTTTATAAAGAATGGGGTATTTAAAATATACAAAATTTCCTCCCTTTTCTATTATGCTATTAAATTAATTTTAAAGTTTACTTTTAATTAATTTCTTGAGAGAAAGAATATTCTTGATAAGCTCTTGCCGCACTGTGACCTAAGCCCTCCAGCCAGCCAGGATCGTGGGTATGCCTGGTGTGTCCAGATCAACCTGGGATCTGAGCCTGGGCCTCTCATGCGGCCCCAGTGTTGTTACACCTTACTGCCTGTGCTGTAAACCTATCAGGAACTTTAGAGCCTGTGACGCACATTAGGAACTGCTGAGCAAGTCAGCCCCTTGCACTGTGGTCGCGAGCGTGTAAGGACATTTCCCAGGTGCGTGAGCCCTCCGAGTCGCCGTCCTAACTGTCACTTCTCTGTAGGCTGATGGGGATGTCTGCCAGGACTGCATTCAGTTGGTGACTGACATCCAGAATGCCATAAGGACCAACTCCACCTTTATTGATGCATTGGTGGACCACGCCAAGGAGCAGTGTGACCGTCTGGGACCTGGCATGGCTGACATGGTGAGCCTGGTCTCAAGCACTGGAGGACGTTCCAGGCGAGGGAGTTGGGCTCTGGAGACAGGAGTGGGGAAACAAAAAACAAAACAAAACAACACCAAAAAAAAAAAAGGAATACTCTGTTACTTCCTCTGGGATCATTTTAAGTTCCGACTTAATGGCTTTCCCTTTTTCCCAGAGAGCAGCAAGTGGACTGAGTATGGGGACAGTACTTTGGTTAATTGTATCTGGCTATGTAACAATACTCTTGGGATGAAATAATGGAAGGAGACCACTTTCGTGAAGACTTTTTTTCCTCCAAGTCACTGTATGTGATAGAAGCATGAACCACTTATAACTGTTTTCCAAAGCTTGGCTGTGGTGTATGAGGCTCATAATTCTGAGTGTGCTCCGGGTCACCACCCATGGGAAGCCATGGCAGCTGCTTGCAAGGGTTTTACCTGGAAGCCTTCCATTAGTCCCCCAGGTTCAGAAACTCATTTTGTTAGCCTTTTAGGAGGTTTAATTTCTTGGACTCCATGCCAGCATTATGAACCACACTGCTGAGATTGATATAAAGCCAAAAGGTCAGCCTAGTATCTGATAACTGAAAACCTTGCTAGACTGGCAGTTGGGAAGCTGGCTGTAATATTATAACGTGGTCTAGGGTAGCTTTTCAGGGTGTAGCTAAGGGTCCTCTTTGTTGACTTCTCTCTTGAGGAATGACAATCAGGTTAACATCCATTTCATCTTAAAAGCCTGAGAATCCTGTAGCTTCAGTGAAGTATCATTGCATATCACCATTTTCGTTGGTTTTCCAGTTAAACCCTCTTTGAAGGCTCTTGTATTATCCCTGATTTGTTTTTTATTTTTTCATTGCAGAAGCATCCCAATTATGACAAGAGCTGTCCTGTGAGGGTTTACTGGGAATACCTAGATTTGTATGGAACTATGTAGTGAAAATTCATTGTAACTTGGCCATACTGAATTTAAACTTTAGAATCTGGTCTGAGCATGTACGAATGGAAGTGAAAATCATCTCGAGTTCCTAGGCAACATACCTATAGTTACATTCACTCTAAATGGCTACTAGTAGTAGCTGTTGGGCAGGCTTGGATGAAAAAAAAAATGGTAATAATAATAATAATAATAATAATAATGGAGATAGGATGGAATCTCTAAAGGTCCCTTGGTAAACATTTTCAAAACTTTTTCTTACACATTTCCTATAAGTTAAGGAATAATTTGCCATTTTTATCTTATTAAAACTTGCCCAGAGCAGACATTTATAAAATTCTATTCTTGGAAATGTGCTTGATAGTCCTAGTTGACACAGTTGGAATCGCGGGTTAGTTTTGGTGGTGTTTGTATGTTGTCGCAGGAATGAGTTTAACTAATAGTCGGTTTTTCTCTCCCCAGTGCAAGAGCTACATTACCCAGTACTCTCAAATTGCTGTCCAAATGGTGATGCATATGGTAGGTGGCGGGAGTTAACCCTTGTTAACATTTTTCTTTATTTCAAATTTTGTCATTTTAGGAACTTTGAAAATTATATAGTTTAGTTTTCCTTTTTTTTTTTTTTTTTTGAGAGAGAGGTTTTTGCTATAGGGCATGTGTGCTCCCCAGAAAGAGAGACAGAGAGACAGAAAGTGAGAAATCACCCCCCATGGGAATGGCCCCAATCCTTTCTCTTCCATTCTCCTCTCGGGATCTTGGGCATGCACGCACATGCACCCAGCGTGAGTTTAAGCTACCGAGTCCAGTACTCAAACCATGGTCGACTTCAAGGGAGTCCAGCAACATAGCTATTACGCCAACTGCTTAGTTTTCCTCCCCCCCCCCACTTTTTTTAAAAAAATTAGAATACTGAATTGGGCCAAAAAGAACCTTCTTTAAACAACCAGCAGATTCTTCTCTTGCAATCTCAGTCTTGCTCATTGCCTGGAAAGATTGAGGCAGCAACTTGGTCCCTAGGACGGCCCTGGTGACTTGACTTCCTGGGGATCTGGTTGCCTGTGCATATACGAGCTGTACATCAGATGTCTAGAGTCAAGCTTTAAACCTGGAACCCAATAGAAATAGTCTGCCTAGTAACTAAGGCAGCTTTGCAGATTGCTGTGTTGCAGCCTGAGAGGGAGGAATCCTGCTGCTTGAGCCTGTAACTCTTGCACTGGAGTCTGATGCATGCAGGTGTTGGTCTGATACACACACACTTCATTAGCAGCGTGGGAATTGTGGTAGCTAGCTCCGTGCAGACAGAACAGGCATCCTTAGGTTGGGAACAGGCACTGGCCTCCTTGTGTCCAATCTGTAGAGTGGGTGGAGCAGCTGGGGAGGTTTTCCTTTTCCCTCTCTGTCCTGCTGACTTTCTAAGTACATTGAGGTTGACTAGCCCTTGAGTTTGTTATTTAATCCAGCAGTCAGCAATCTATGGCCTGCCACCTGTTTTGTAAAGAAAGTTTTTTGGAACACAATGGCACTTCTTTTGTTTTATAAACAGCACAGTTGAGTAATTGTAGCTGAACCCTTAAGGCCTACATATCCTGAAAGATTTACAGTCTGGCCCTGCTCTACCCGCTAAAATAAAATAACTCATTTTATCTGGGAGCAGTACTCATACCCCACTTTGGTCTAAAATTAGTTTAAAAGCAGCTTTCAGAGACATGCACCTGAAGTAGGTAAAAATAAGGTTTTGATGTGACTTATCTATCAAAGTGCTTCTTGATAGCAGACTGAAATATTTTTCTTCTTGTAAAAAAAGTATAAACATTTTCTGAAGAAATATTTTGAAACTATGGATAATACTTCCCACCTCAAAAATCATTTGGGATTTCAAAACATCAATGGGGACATATTTTCTATAATACTTTGTAATTTGCAGTTTGTGTTTTTTACCCAAAAATGTATTCGTTATTAAATATTCTGTAGAAATGATTTTTAAGTGATTTTTAATGATTTTTTAAGTGCATAAAAGTCCACTATGTGGCTGGAACCTAATTTACGTAACCAGTCCCCTGTGGCTGATTTCGGTTATGTTCAGGCTTGCCCTTAGGATGAAGAACTTCCTTATAGCCAGATACACAAATCTATGCCCATGCACCCCCACCCCTATTTATTTATTTATTTATTTATTTATTTTGCCATGGGGTACATGTGCTCACCAGAGAGCAAGACAGAGAGAAAATGAGAAATCACCCCTTGGAGACAGGGATGGCCATACCACAATTCTGTCTCTATTCTCCTCGGGAATTTGGGCATGTATGCACACCCGCCTGGCATGTTTTCAAGGCTGCTGGGTCCAGAACTCAAACCATGGAGTTAGCTCCATGGGACCCACTGCTGTAACCACCATGCCACCTGCTGGCCGACCCACCTTGTTTCTTCCTTTGGTATGGTTCTAAAACTGAAAAGGTTGAATCAAAACACAAGGTTTTGGAGACATGGTCACCTTGGCTATCTAGCCTTTGGCCACCCAGGATGGGCTGCAGGCTACCAGGCAACAGGGTCTAGTTCAGGATCCCGGACTCCCTGGGGTGTATTAGCTTCATACCACCCACGTGTAGCTTGGGCATCCCAGTGCCTTGCTCTATTGTACTCATCTATCCTATGGGGAGGGCCTGGGCTAAGGCTCCTGAATACAGTGGCGTTTTCCGGGCCCACTCAGGCTCACTTGCTGCATGGTGTTTGAGCACGCTTTAGTGTGTTGGACATGGGGAGGGTGCACACTGGCTGGACAGACCTCAGGTGGTCTAACTTTGAGGACCAGAGTAGCTTTAGGGCGCTCTTGTCTATGAGGTGGTAGAACAGGTGGGTTGCTGGGGTCCAACTGCCAGTTTCCCCTAAACTTCCCCTGACTTCCTTACACCTGGTTAACTGCTTGAGTATGGTTATTTTATTTTTTCTTAACTGTTGTGTCCTTTCCTTTCTCTTATTTTCATCTCCGATTTCCTGTTTTTTTGTTCAACAGCAGGATCAGGTATGTGACGGGGAATTTGCTTGTAGTAGTGGTCTGCCGCTTCATAGTTATTCTGCTCCTCCTTTGTATGGCATGATCAGCTCTGACAGATACAAGGAACATTTGCAAAAGACAGCGCCCCTCTCCCTTCACAGGCTGGGGAGAGCCTCTGTATTTCTCCCCTGTGGTTCAGCACTTGAGGTGTTGGGGTCTCATCTCTCCTTCAGGGGGCCAGAAAGTGAAGCCAGCAGAGCTTTGTGCTCTGGTCATAATTCCACAGTGCCTGTAGGCCACCAGTGTGATGCTGGAGGTCCGGGGTGGCCCTTCAGGTGTCTCGGCTTCCTTCGGTGTAGGCCTGACTTCGGGTGGGACACCTTGTGTCTGTCACAACGCTAGTGGGCATTGCATGTTTTTCGTACTGTTCTCATAACCCCAGAAATGCTTCTTCTGCATGAGCAAATTGTTTGCAGACAGCCAGCAGACTGTTTCCCTGTGCATTGGGAATTGGAAACAATCTCTTGATTGTGGCTTCCACCCCCTGGGTCGTGGGGTCCTTGGGGATCTGGAGTCCCAGTCCACACTTGCTCTGAGCCAGTTCCCTTTGGGGGCTGTTCTGAGTATTGCCCCTTCTGAACATTGGCATCAGTCTCAAGGACTGGAGATTTTGCAGAGGTAGTTTGAAGTCTAATATTAGAGGGCTTTGGTTGAAATACCTGAGTTTTCACTTAGGCCTCCTCAAGGAGTTAGGACAGAGCTGATCGGCGACACAGTAGCCATACTGCTCCTGAATCTTGGTGTCTTTTTCTAAGAAGCTTGCTGTATCTTCAGCCTATTCTGATCCCCATTCCCCCATTCCGAAGGTGTATTTGGGATATACTTTTCAGACTCCCCTAACCTTATTTAATTCTAGATCCTTCTCAATTTTAAAACAAGACAAACCGCAGCTGTGGTGTGGCCTCTTCCCCTAACAGCTGTGTGTGTAGTAGCCCTGCTCCTGCTGCTGTAGGTTTGGTGGTGGGAAGCAGTGCCCTCAGGCCCAGGGCTGGTTGCTGGGTGCACTGGATCTCTGCAGCGTACAGAGGATGCACACGTGTCTCGCTCTCGCCGTTGTAGTGCAGTGCAGTCGTCCAGATCTCTGGACCTACCTAATTCTCTGTGGGCTGGTCTCTGGATAGGAGCCCTGACTCACCAGTTTGGGGGAGGTTGGGTTTTCAAGTGTACCGCATGCAATTGTAAACAAAGGATGTGGTTTTTAAAAAGCTAGTATTTCCCCATCATGTATCATTTCAGTAGTCCTGCCACAGAAAGATCCTGTGTGGTTTATTTCTACACATTTGACTTTCTGTTCACTCACGGGCATGGTAGTTCCTCCTCTAGAACTGACGTAAAGCTTACCTTTCTACCGAGAGGCAGCCAAAAGGCACACCCAGGGCTGGCTGGTGTCCTGGGAGATGTCGCTGGTGCTGGGGTGTCTCCCAGTCTAAGGGGGGCCCTGGTGAGAGCTGCAGGAGTAGCAGCTGTCTGATTCCCCTGCAGGGCTCTGCATGCCTCCTCCCCCAGATGAATTGTATGGATGCTGTGCTTGGGGACACGAGCCCTTTTAAGGAGAATCCAGGATCTCTGCCCGTCCGTGGGGGAGTCAGCCTCGGCCCTGAGACCAGGGTGCTCGCAAGCGTCCTGACCTCTCTGTACTGAGAGTGGGCCCGAGAGGCGGTGGGCACGGGCTGTATCTGACTGGCTGTTCTGTGCTCTCTTCAGCAACCCAAGGAGATCTGCGCGCTGATTGGGTTCTGTGATGAGGTGAAGGAAATGCCTATGCAGACTCTGGTCCCTGCCAGAGCAGCCGCTGAGAACGTCATCCCTGCCCTGGAGCTGGTGGAGCCCATTAAGGTACCTGGTGTCAGTGGAGTCGACACTCCCTGTCCCTGTTGTGTCACATCCTACAAGGCACATACTTTCCTGGTGCCCTGTCCGACTCCTAAAGGTCGCCGAGTCTGAGACCATGAGGGACAGCATGGCTGTCCTCTATACTGGTACAGCTCCTGACTCCCGAGTTGTTTCCCAACTCTTACTGCCTTGGTTGTAAACCCTGGTGTTCATGGGGTCAAGCCTGTGGTTTCTCAGCATGCTATTCAAGATGCCTTTTCAGTGCCTGGCTCCAGCCTCGCCTTTTCACATGTACTTTCTGGGTCCTTCCCTACTGTCGCCATAAAACAGAGTTGATACTCTCTCACTGCCCTTCCCGTGCTCCCAGAGCTTACGTCAGAGCCTCACAGGGCCTGCTGCTTGCATGTGTGGCTGTGCATTTTGCTACCCCAGAAGCCCTCACTTGGTAAAGATCCTGCTTCAATCCATAATAAATCTGTCTTCGACACTTACTATGGGTGCTAGAGTTGTTCTGCTTCTCAGGACCTAGGCCTCCTGACACCGTAACACGTGCATGCTGAACGTCACGTGGCACTGTTGCCAGCTGTCTCCTCTCTGCCTGTCCAAGAGTGTGGCCCACAGGAAGGTCGAGGTGTCTGAGGAGTCCAGGAAAACACTGCTTCCTGCCTCCTCACATGAGATGCTCCTACACTCTGTGGACCAAATTAATCACCAAAGAAAATGAAGGAGAGTTGCAACTTGCCATCTAACCACGTGTGACTGCTCTTAACTTTGAATTAAGCGAAATGGAAACTGTCGGTGTCTTGGTTTCACTAGCTACAAGTATTCAGGAGACAAGGAGTTAGTGCCCACTGTACCGAGCAGCAGAGACAGGGAGTGCTTCCGTTCTTAGGGAAGGTTCTGCACATAGCAGCATTGCTTCATCCAAGGGGGAGTCTAGAAAAAACAATCTTCGGTGCTGGTGAAACTTAGGGAGCTCAGGAGCAGACCTGAAATGTGGTCATACTCTGTCTCCCCTTTCTCTGGTCCTGCCCTCTCATCTGCCTCCCCAGAATGACTGCCGCATGATAAAACAACCGTAATGGAGCACAGCAGCATGTGGTTGTATTTTGAGGGTGGGGGGAGGATTTTTATTTCCTGAATTGTGTTTTTGTTTGTTTGTTTATTCGTTTGCATGGCGGGGGAGGGGGGAGTGGCAGGGAGGTGGCAGCGGTAGAGTGATGGAATGGATTCCCCACCTATGAAAATGGTAGGAAATTGAGCTTGGTCCCTGGGAGAAAGCCATGTATTGCAGGTTCAGTAGGCGGTGGCCCTTGGTGTGAGGCTAAGCCCCTCTGGTCTCTGCCTCCCTCTCCTTTAGAGGAGTAGAGCCAAGGAGTGCAAGGTCCTGCGTTAAAGTCTCTTCTCTTCTCAACAGAAAGACATGGTGCCAGTCGAGGGTAATGTCTACTGTGAGATGTGTGAGTACGTGGTGAAGGAGGCAGTCAAGCTGGTGGACTCCAACAAGACTGAGGTATGCAGCCCTCCTCGCAGGGGTGGTCCTCTCCTGTGCATGAGCCAGATCGTCCCAGTAGGACAATCCAGTGGAAGGGGGGCTTTACTGGTTTTTGACCCCAGCCTGGGAATATGTGTGGCCATGTCCCCATGTGCAAGGCAGTTCCCACCGGTGGGTCCCTCTGGGCTGGGTGGGGAGGGCACCTTTGCCTTGCTTTGTCCTCTAGTCTTGGTGGCTTGGTAGCCTGCAGGGGGAATGACAAAGCACCTCACCTTTGGCTGGTTTCTTGACCGTGTCGGTGTTTTTGAATCTCTGAATTTCCTCCCAATTCCTGGCTTCTTACGATCCTCTCCTCGTGTTTTAGGAAGAGATACTTAATACTGTCGATAAAATGTGCTCGAAATTGCCCCAGTCATTAGCAAAAGAGTGCCAGGAGGTAGTGGACACGTACGGCAGATCCATCCTGTCACTCCTGGAGCAGACCACCCCGGAACTGGTGTGCCACCTGCTCCACCTCTGCCCTAGCAAGGGGCTGCCCGCGCTGACTGGTGAGCCCAGGGCATGTCGGGGGGAGGCCGGCACCCCTTCCGGGTCTGGGGCAGCCCTGCCACATTGAAGAACCCTGTGTCCCCTTGTGTAGCACACATTACTCGGCAGAAGGACGGTGGCTTCTGTGAGGTGTGTAAGAAGCTGGTTGGCTATTTGGAGCGCAACCTGGAGAAGAATAGCACCAAGGAGGAGATTCTGGCTGCTCTTGAGAAAGGCTGCAGCTTCCTGCCCGATCCTTACCAGCAGCAGGTACGCCCTGGGCAGCAGAATCTGCGTGGGGCCTGTGGAGACAGGCGGCTCGCTGATCGTCCCCTCAACTGGAGTTTTGAGGGAAAACCTGTGGTTTCTGCCTCTTCGACCTAAAGACTTGTTGGCTTAAGTGGAGCCACTGCGGGAAAAACACCTAAGCTCATAGGGCAATGTGGGCAGGACCTGGGAAGGGAGACCCAGAGCCCAGAGGGCGGGGGATGCGAGGGGCTCACGGAGAAGAGCCCGTGAGCGCCTTCTCGGCCTTCCATGCCCCTGCTTTGCTTGTGCTCACCGGACTTGGGCCCGTGTCCTGTTTTCTTTGACAGTGTGATGAATTCGTGGCCCAGTATGAGCCTGTGCTGATAGAAATCCTAGTGGAGGTGATGGAGCCTTCCTTCGTGTGTGAGGTGAGCCTTGCTGGGCCCCGTGGTGACTGGACGCAGTTGCAGTCGATGGGAGAGGTTCCTCAGGACCCATCTGTGGTGGGGGAAGAGTCCTGGGGAGTGGATTATGGGGAAGCCCCATCATTGTACTCAGTAACCCTGGTGACTTTGTTTGCTCGTTTCTCTCCCTTTATGAGATAAAGACAGAAGGCAAAAGGGGGAGAAGGATGCAGACAGGTACTTTTGACAGGGACTCGTTGCATTGCTGTCCTGCGCCCAACCTCCCAGTTAGCAGAATTAGAGAAATATGCAACCACGCTTGGTGCATTCGGATTTGGAGCTTCCAGCCTCTCAAGTGGTGGAGCCACTGCTGTCTGGGCCAACCCTTTTTAAAGATTTTTTTATTACCATTATTTTTCAATTTTGACCAGAGCGTGCCAGAGAGAAAGAGAAGAGAGATTATAGAGCAAGTTGCCAGGTTCAGGACTCGAACCGTGGTTGGCTATATGGAAGTCCAGCGCCCTTAACCACTATGCCACCTGCCGGTCCCCTGATGTTCTTTTCAAGAGCATGTCTGAGCTCCAGTTCTAGGTGCATCTGGAAGCTGAGTTTGGAAGTTGGGAAGTGATTAATTGGGCAGTCTAACTTATTGCACCCTTTGTCCTTTTTTCACCATATAGAAAATTGGAGCCTGCCCTGCCGCACGAAAGCCTCTCCTGGGGGCTGAAAAGTGTGTCTGGGGCCCGAGCTACTGGTGCCAGAACACAGAGACAGCAGCCCAGTGCAACGTGAGTAACTGAGCGGACAGCTCCACAGACCTGCCTCACTCGAAGGGCAGCTCGCATGAGAGTACTGCTTTAATGCCTCAGCGATCAGCTCGCTGCCCTGCTTTTATGTAGGTGAAAAACTGAGGCCCAGCGAGGCAGCTCGGTTTACTCACGGCTGCCCAGCAAAGCAGGGCTAACTGCACCCTCGTCTTTGGGGAGTGAAGGGTGTGGTAGATACTCTAATACTTCTTCTGTTTTCTTGCTGTCTGTTCTTGTGACAGTGTTGGAGTTGAATGAGTTCACTCCAGGGATTGGACAAGCCCCCTCAGGCACAGTTGCCCTGGCAGCAGGCAGAGCTCTTCTTTAGTGGCGCTGAGAGTTGGCCGTTGACCAGCAGCCCCAGGGTGTCGTGGCACTGTCCTGGCTGACAGCCACCAGTTGGGTGACCAAGGCTGCTTTCCTGGGTGGGGATGTCTGGCCCGGCCTGTTACTTAATGTACCTTTGCACAACTTGTTCTTCCTTGCCATGGTCCCTTGTGACTGTGTTGAGAGAGGTTGTGTCATCCTGGGCCGCTGCAGGGAGTGGCAGAGGTCCATAGACCGGCTGTGTCCAGCTCCCCCTCCCAGCCAGGCCCCAGCCTGCCTGTGCCATCACCCCCACGCTGCAGCATGGCCATGGTGGAACTGGTTCTGTTGCTGTTCTGGGTAAATGGTGTCTGTGGATTTACTTCTAATGGTCCAAGTATGAACCCCAACAGCTGGGTAAGGAGGTTCTGCCTCGGGGATCTCCATGTAGCTTACCAGCAGGACACTGGGAGCTGGGTGTAAGAAGATGAAGGGGTCCTGGGCCTGCCAGCCTGGGTGTCACCTGCAAAACACTAAATGGCTTTGCTTCTGTCGTTCAGGGCTCTCAACGAGTCCCCCAGTGACTACATGCTTCCTGCTTTTAAGTGAGATAATGTCTTCAGCATTTGGTGCCATCCGGTGGACCCAGGGCAAAGGCCGGGCCCCATTTTGGGGTGATATCTGGAGCCCTAATGGACCAGGAGTGGAGTTTGCCACTTCAAAGACTAAACCCAGTTTCCTCTCTCTTGCCAGGCTGTTGAGCACTGCAAACGCCACGTGTGGAACTAGAGCACTCCATCTCGCGGAGACCGCAGCGTCTTTCCCTGCCTATGTGCCCAGGGGCTTGAACACACGGATCTATTTGACTTTGTTATAAAAAATAGGCGCCCCCCCGCCTCCCCCATTTCTTTTCCTTATTGTAGCATTGCTGCCTGTGTGGGAGGTGCTGCCCCACACTGACGTGGCTGCTTCGTTGTGCCCTTTCTGTCTGCTAGACATTGACATACTGTGGACAGGAGGTCGTCTGGTCTGTCCTTGCATGGAACCTGGAAGGAGAGGAAGGGGCTCTTGATGCTGGTGTGAGCCAGAGCTGCTCAGCAGGAGGCCATCCATCCCTTTGGCTGAGGCCTTGTTCTGAGCCTTGACAGGTGCACAAGCACTGGTGGGCTTGGGTTTCCGAGGCCACCTACCCTAAGAAGGGACCTTCTCCTTTCCTGGCCTGCCAGCTGCTGTACAAAGCAGCGAACAAAGGCATTTCTTTTTGAAAGATTATAGACGCTCAGAGTAATTCGGCCTTTTCAGTAACGTGACGGCTGTCATCGCAGAGCCTGTGCCCAGATCAGCCCCCATTCAGTGCTCCTGTCTTTTCCTGGTGATTCTTGTTTGGGGTTCTCGGGTTGGGTGGGAAAGGGAACCATGCCTGAATGTGAACTGCTAGCTCTGTGGAGGCCGTGGCTTCTGTGTGAACGGTGGTGACACCCAGCTGCAGAGGCCCGCTTTGTGCCTCTGCACTCCTCGCCACCTCGTGTCTGCTCTTCTTGACTTTTCCTTCCAAATAAACGTGAATGGCATTCTCCTAAGCTCTGGCTTCCTTGAGGGTGAACACCGAGAGGTGTGCTAGGTGTGGGAGTGGGTGCTGTCTGGGGCCATGGCTGCAGCTGGTCTGACTCCACTTCTGGATGCCAGGAAATAGCAAGCAAAGCCAGCAGGATGTGCAGTGCTATTAATAGACATAATGATCTGTGTTTGTTTTGCACTAAAGATTCTGTGATTTAACAATAAAGTTCTGTTAATCAGATTCAAGCCCGAGTGTTTCTGTGATGCCTCAACCAGAATAGTTTGGTCTCGGATTAGTTCTAAACCCATGGCCCCTCTTGGTTAGAGAAAGAAAGCAAAGGAGGTTAAAAAGAAGCCCTGATGTGGCCCTCGCCCCTGCCCCCTGCACCCTGCCAGAGAGACCAGACCTGCAGTAGATCAGGGAGCACCTGAGGGTGGGGCCTTGCCCTCTGCGCCTCTCCCCTGCACACAGGCTAGCCACACAGGTGGTTTACCAGAGTCAGTGTATTGTATTGCCGGTTCCTTGTGAGTTGCTTTTCTTTTTAAACAAACCATTCCAGAAACTTTCAATGAGTACCAGTTAAACAAAACCAAGGGGAAAAGATCAAGGGAATAACTTAATTTAAAAAAGGAATACACACAAACACTCTACATTCAACACCCAAGGGAACACCAGTCATTACCCTTGATAAGCTGGGCATGTTTGGGAAGCCAATAAAATGAGAATGCTTGTTCATTGACATTGACCTTGTCCAGGTCGGGGGTAGGGATCACTCCCTGCCACTACCTGGTCATCCATCCGGGATATGGCAAAAATGTAGGACTGGAACTGAAGTCATGGTGTTGGCCAGCAGGGGGCGCCAGCGCACGGCTCTCCCCTGGTGCTGGGTTCTTGCACCTTGCTCTGTGTGGGGGACAGTCACACCTTCTGGGAGGAATGGGGAGGGGAACGATGTTCTTGGCCTCTCAGAGCTGGGCCTGAGTGGAGCTGGTCCTCAGACGCCTGGGCCCCTAGTGACCCTCCTTACCTCGTCCTTAGACGCTTAGCATTTTTGTTTGGTTTTCTTAAAAAAATAACAAATTTTATGAAGATAGAGATCAGATGCTGAATGAGCGTCTGGCAGAAGTGGAGTCTGTCCGAGCAGCTGACGTGGGCCTCCAAGGCCGACCCCAGGTCCCCGAGCTGGCCTGGGAAGGGGCCCTGGCCTTGGCCCTGCTTCTCCCCTACCCCAGGCAGTGGGGTGGGATGGGTGCTGTTGACACCCGCAAGGCCTCCCTGTGCAGTCATAGCTCTGTGATCTCCAGGGGGCTCTCCATGATCACGTCGCGGAGCTTGTGCAGGGGTGTGGATTTGGCGGATTCCGTACGGGCGTTGCGCTCGAAGGCAGCGGCGTCAGTGGCTGTCAGTGTTTCCAGCGAGCGGCCCAGGCCCTTCTGGTCATCCTCGGGCAGGCTGTTGAGGTCGGTGGCTAGCAGCGTGCCCGTGCTCCCGTGTACCACGTGGATCCCGTCTGGTCCCTTGAGCTCCATGGGCGGTTTATGGCGAAAACGCAGACTGCCCTGACCTGGGCTATGGTCCCCCGGCTCCTCCTCCAGGTCAGTCTGGATCAGCTGTAAGAGGTCAGGGCAGGTGGGGGCTTGGATCCCCTCAGTGCTCAGGGCCATGCCCAAGTGAGCAGTTGGATGGCCCCAGAGTCCCACCTGCTCTAGGTCTCTTTCCTCCTGACCAAGTAGGCCTGTCAGCTTCCAACAGTGCTCAAATGGCTCAAGGGGAAGCCATGGCTACCAAGGTGCTACGGAAGTGTGCCCAGGACTGCGGGCTCCCTACAAGAACCATGATAGCATGTGTTCACTTTGGTGCGCTAAGAACCCTGCAGTACGATGGTGGTATTTGGGTTTATAGCCAGGTTGGCCTCAAGCAGGGTCAACCATAATTGTGTCCAGGTAGAAAGTGCCCATGGGAGAAGCTGGAGGGGTCACATGGGGTGGATGCTCCCAAATGGCACCTGTGTCCCACCTCAGGCTGTCCTGCCTCCACCTAGTTCAGCTGGGAACTTGTGCGCAGCTCGAAAGGGGTTTTCAGATAAGGTCTGATTTGCAAGCGCTGACGCAACCACTGTAGGCAAACACGTGTGGGCCTATTTGACCTGGCAGCCAGTATCATAGGGAACTCACTTCTCAATGCTATCTTCTCATGCCCTCAAACCTGAGAACCACTCTTCACAGCTTTTCTTGTCCCCGGGAAAGCCCTCGCGGAGCCCAGAAAGTGGAGCACGCTGCCTGACTTCCTAGACCCCACCCATTGCTGCTGTTGGCCCTGGCTACTGAGCCTCAGAGGCCTTGAGAAGGACAGCAGGAGGGCAAGAAAGAGAGCACCCCCAGGGCTGGGGCACAGCACACAGCTCCCGGGCTACCCGGCTACCTCGGAGATGGAGGAGTGGCAGGAGGAGGCTTTTTGCACCATCCGCTGTGCAAAGAGCTTTTTGAGCCGCAGGTAATCCTCCAAGACCACCTTCAGCAGCGAGCCCTGGGGGAGGGAAAGGGTTAACCCCCCACCAAGGCCTTCCCTTGCTTGCCCCACCCCTCACTCACTCCCTCTGGGAGTCAAGGGTGCACAGGCATTGGTCCTAGGACAGGGGATTGGTAGCAAAGCCTGGTGACCATGGTCAGCCAGAACCCCTGTGGGCTCTGGCCGCGGGGCCACTGCGGGCTGGGGCATCTCTGTCTCAGCCCCAATGTGCAAGCCTCTGGGCCTATGGTGCGCTCCCCCTGGGGAGAGTAGCTCTAGCCGAGGCCGAGCCAGAGCCTGAGCCTGGAGGTTTCCACCTCCCCACATCCTCTGCAGTGGGGTACACATTCGGTGGAGCCCACAGGGAGGGCTCACCTTGATGGGCCCCTCCCGAATGATCTGGCCCAGTTTGGCGATGTTGTCGTACTCCTGGATGGCAGCCCGCAGGTACCGGTCATCGTCAGGCTTGACAGCTGCTGGCTCACGCCCAAAAGTTCCCTGGGGAGACGGGACATTAGCTGGAGCAGAGGTAGACACCACCCACTCACCCAACCCCCAGCTCCTTAACCAAAGGTGGCGAAGACCTCCCCACTCCGTCCCTGCCCCTCTCGATGGCCCGCCCCACCCTCAGCCCCAGCTCTGGCCCCTGCTCCAGCCCGGCTCACATGGGTGCGGGTGGGGCTGTTCCACAGGTCAGCGATCTCGCTCAGGTTCTCTGGCAGGTCGTCCTCGTGCTCAGCTTGGGCAGCCAGCTCCAAGTTCCGGCAGAAGGGATCCAGCCACACAGGGTTAGCTCTGCAGGTGGGCAGAGGAATAGGGTTGGGCGAATGGGGGAGGCTTGAGTGGACAGATGCCCCCTGTCTCACCCCAGCCCCTGCCTATTTTCCTGGCCAACTTGGCACCTTGTACAGAATGGGAGGTGCAGGCCCATGGAAGCAGCAGTTCCTCACCCATGGCACCGGAGGTTCAACCCCACCAAGCGTCCTGTTAGCACCAGGACATGGCAGTTTGGACCAACTGTGGTGTGGGGCCTCCCCTTGCACACAGCACCCAAAGTCTATGCTCTTGGGACCCAGAGGCTGATCAGGGTTGGGGAGCCCAACTGAGCCATGCAGTTTCTGAGGGTAGTGAGAAAGAGTGGCCATCCCACTAGGGGGCGCCCACACCCCACGTTTCAGCCAGTCCATGCTTCTCTCAACACTTGGGAGCACTAGGGGATTCTCCCCAAAGAGGACTAGGCAGTCCGGAGGCTCCCGCTCACCCATCGAAGGAGTACTTGTTGGTGTTGGGCATGTCCATGATGTCGATGAAGCCACGATTCCCTGCAGGGAGGAGGGTTGGGGTGTGGAAGAAGGGGGGAGGGCACAGATGGGGGTTAAGGGCTAGCGCCAGCCTTGCGAAACCCTGGCAGACACTCGGGCCCCAGCCCCCAACACTCGCTCCCTGCCCCCTCACCTCCCCACCCACAGCCATCACTTGCCTGCCGAGCCAGCCACAATGGCCTTGAGCTTCCTCTTGTGTCTGGAGGGAAGCAGAGAGGTGCCGGTGAGGGAGGCTGGGCCGGGCTCCCCGGGGCTGTGCAGGGGCAGGCCGGGCAGCCCCAGCCCAGGCAGGGTCGGGGCACTCACACGGTCCTGTAGTACCAGTTCATGAGGATGAAGAGCATGGCCGCCAGGAAGAGGAGGATGGCCAGGACGATGATCGCCATCTGGGAGACAGCGAGCAGGCGTGAGCGGGTGGCCAGGGCCAGCGCCTGCGCCCGGATGGCAGGGAGGGCAGCCCTTGAGGGGACTGTGGGTGCCACGGGGTACCTGCAGGGCGGACATGTCGTCGGGCAGCCGGACAGAGATGGCGGGCTGCACGTCCAGGACGTTGTAGTTCCGGAAAAGATTGCGCAGCTGCTCCTTGTTCTCGTCGATCATCTGGATCACCCTGGGCGAGGGGCAGGGGCCTCGGCTCCCACCCTCGGCCATCCCCCCAGAGCCTGCCTCACCCAGGACCATCTGCTCAGCCCCTGCCTTGAGCCCAAGCTCACCCTGCCCCCAAGCCTTGTCAATTACAGCCCACTAGCCAGGTGAGCTGGTGCCTTACAGGACTCTGCACAGGATCCGCACGAGAGAGGGGGAAACCCCATTATACAGACGGGGAGAGTGAGGTTCATTCAGGAGACGGCTCTGTGCATACCCCAACCTGGGTTCTCTACTAGCCCTGCCCACCTCGGGGAGAGCCCCATGGAGTGGGCCTGATGGTGTGGTCTGTGCATCCTTTGGTGGGTCCCCATTCCAACTCCAGGCAGGGAGGCAGACAGACAGACTGACAGTTTGGCACAGGCCCCCACCCACCGGTCCACGTCTAGGATGCGGTTGGTCTCACGGTTCACCACGTGGATGAGCAGCTCCGTCTGGGCGAAGTTCACCCGACCCTTCTTGTCCACGTGGAACTAGGTGAGAAGGGACATTGTGGGTGTGGCCACCACAGCAAGGGCTGGGGCCAGGATGGAGGGGAGGGGGCAGGCCTCTTCTTAGGATCCCTTCTGCCCTAGCTGCGCAGAGGCCATCCCTCCTGAGTGCTCACTGAGGACCAGGCTCGGTGCCCATCACTTCACGCACTGTTACTGGCCCCTGTCTTACAGATGAGGAAACTGTGGCCCAGAGACCTGGAAGAACATTCTCAAAGTCGTGCTGCCCTGGCCTCTCTGCAATGCCCCGTCCATCCTTGTAATCTGGCCCCCT